AAGCATTTTGCAGACTTTGAAAGGAGCATCAACGAGACTGGCCTTGGATGTAAAAAGAGAGCCAAAAGCTTCGGCGAATGAAGTCGAAGCTCTCTTAACCTCGACAGATTGACGCGGAAGCCTTATCCCGCACACTTTTCTTGCGGTACTGTAGCTGCTACAATACTACAAGGAAACATAGAGCGGGAGACATGAGTCGGGCCGTCAAAACAGTCCCGTTTTCCTTTCTTATTCATTCTTTCCTATCATTCTTCATTTATTTTTAGTCCTTCCCTACATGTGTGTATTAGGGGTTGAATTAGTAGTTTTTGGTATGTTTTGTATTGGGACAACCACCATCCTCTCTTCTTCCATTCGAAGGCTGTATTCTAGGGTTCCAAGTCGTGTTTCGGCTGTGTGACCTCGCCACTCCTTGTCATCCTTCCCTGTTATTGCTATTTTGCACTGCTGTACTCTCATGCTTGCTCGCGGCCGCTGTTCTGGACAGCCGTCCCTTGCCGCCAATCAGCCTCCAATCCCCCATGTTTCGCGCCCTTTGCTGTCGTTATCCGGAAAGCAACAATCTTAGTGTTTATCTGCTGTCGCTTGGCTGTTCCAGCCTTTCTAACTGCGCTTCGCCGCTTTGCTCGCCACCTCACCTGCTGCGTTGCTGTCCTAGTATTCCGTTTCACTGCCAACGCGATTCCAATCCCTCTTTTGGCTGTCCCAACCACCTACAACCCCTATTCATCCATCTACCTTTGTTATCAGACCTCCATAACCCATGGGTTGAGCCTTAATGTGAGTTTGTGTTGTGTTTGTTGTAATTTTCTTTTCTACAGTGTTCATTGTAACCGCCTATTTGTTTTTTGGTAATAATATATATTTTTCTACTATGGTTTGGGTTAACTCCGATATCATATTATATATATATATATGTGTTTTCCTTGGTTTGGGTTAACTCCGATATCATATTATATATATATGTGTGTTTTCCTTGTTAGAGTTCAAGTTATGTTTTCAGATTTCCTGCCATTAACGTTTTCTTCCTTGCTATGGTTTTATCTGTGGATAGGTGGTGCTCTGGCTTTATACTTCTCGACGGTGGTGATTATCCCCACGTAATCCTTCGCTTCTTCCTATCCTTGCTCGCTGCCATCCTATCTGCGCACCTTCCCTTCCTATTTTCCCTGGCTCCACCCCTGCTTCTTCCTTTCTGCTACCACAACCCTCTCCAACACCCCCTGCCATTGTTGCAACTCTCTCCAGTGCCTCCATCTGTTCTCGTAACCTTCTCCAATCATCTCCTGCTACTATCACGATCCTCTCTAGCCCCAAACCTGCAGCCGCACTTACACCCCACACCTCCCGCTGCATCCTCTCTAGCCCCAAACCTGCAGCCGCACTTACATCCAGCTCTTCTGCTGTTGCTGCCACCCCACACCTCCCGCTGCTGCTGCAAGCCCAAGTAAGCCTTCTCACCTGCTGTTCAGCTGGTGTTCACCACTATGGATCTCACTCTAGAAGGGTCATTTGTGTTTTGTGTTGTTTATTCTTGTTTTAAGAATCTTTATTGTAATTCGTTTGAGTTTTCGACAATTATATTCCTGTTCCATTGTGATTGGGTTAACTCCGGTATCAATCAAGCTCTGGACCTACGGTCGTGTTCAATACCTTTTGAACCACAAAAAGTTCTCTCTCCTCTGCATACGTAAGTGTTCGTTTTCATCACCAAGTGTATCTTTGAATTTTTTTTCTTCCTCGGTTGTGGTCTCTTATGCTAAGGACACACGTCTGTCTGGATAAATTAATGCAATGTGCCCAAATTACAGGCATTAGAAGCTTTTATATTGTAAGTTTTTAGTACTGGAAGGGCTAGCTTTATTGCTTCATGATATTTGTTCATATTTAGGAAGGTTATTTTTTGGAGGCATGTGGTGGGTATCATCGCCAGTTTTCTTACTAGCTCTTTGAAATTTTTATCCTAAATTTGATAAAAAATTTAATAGTATTTACTCTCTATATTTGTACCCTTAGAGGTAATTTAGTAACATCAAATCAGATCCAAAATTGTTGTAGTTGTATGATATTTACAATGATTGGACGCAATCCACCGATAAATCAGGCAACGGATTGTTCTTTGGATTTAACAAGATCATATTTATACATAAGCTGAAATTTAGCTATATATTTTTCTACTGACAAATTTCGTTGTTGAAAATTATGAAGTTTAATGAAGGAATCATGTCTGAATTGAGATTGTAAATATTATTGTTTTATTAGTTACTTCTTCAGTTTTTCTCCTGTGATGATTTTTATTTTGCCGTTATTTGTCCCCATTCTTTTAAGATTCTCCCACCAAATAGAATAGTTTTCTTAAACTTAATTTTTACTAATTTGACGTGTATATTATTAAGAATATCTTTATAATCAAATACGGGTTCGACAATATCAAGCCAATCTCTAAAGTCACCGGGATTTGGACCATCCTTGAAATCATGAATATCAATTTTATCCCCAAAATCTTGATTTGTCTAATGGGTTTCCTCCTTCTATAAGATTTGCCTTGATTAGACGATTCTTGAAATCCTTGATGGAAAGGGTTTTCCACCTTACGGTCTAAATGATGATCATCCAAATGAAAGATCGTGATTCTATTTCCTGCATTCGGTACTACTAATCTTGTTTGCAATTATTGGATGTGCCTAAACATTTCTTTTATATCTAGTTCTTGGTTTTGTTAAGGTGGGTTTCTCCTGGGAGGCATTTTTTCCTAAGTTCTGATGCTATTTTGACACTCTTTTAAAAGACAGAGCAAGGCAAACCTAAAAAGTTGAAAATCTCCAGCAAATTTTCATAGAAACGCTAAAATTTACCACAAAGGTGAACAACACAGAAACCAGTATAAAGAAATTATGGAAAGAAGATTTGGCTAGGATTCATACCCACAATTATTTTCGATATCATCCTATGGCCTTTGTTCAAAAACAATAAAAATCTTGATCACATTCTATAATTTTTAACTGGGGATAAAACAGCTATAGGTAAAGTTTTGGATGGAATTTGACCTCTTTTAGACTAGGTATTTGCATGTGGAAACTTGGGTAGCCAATTTTCTTTATAGGCAACTTTTAATTATCTTATTACCCCTATTTACTATAGTACCTTTCTAAAAGAAATAATGTTTTCTAAGTAATTTTTATTGAAAAAAATGACCTTATTCCTAATTAGTACCTTTCTAAAAGAAATAATGTTTTCTAAGTAATATTTTTTGAAAAAAATGACCTTATTCCTAATTATATCACATGGGTTTCTACTTCTCAAAGAACAGCGGCTATAATATTCTAAAAGTTTTGTGTGAAGTTGACTATACTTTTTTTTTTATAAGAAAAAACTTTTATATTTTTTAACAACTTTTTTTTTTCAACCTGCATCTCTTCATAGTATTGAATATATTTTTGAAATTCTTTTCTTGTTTGTATATCATCAAGTCCGAATCTCATATTGGTTTGCTAATATGAAAATTACCAAAAGTACTGTTTTTAGTCCAATTTTAGTCAATCTAGAAACCTCTGTTCCAATCATAATTTGATCTATGGTCTGAATCAGATACCCTCACATATATATATTTTACGTGATAAATGAGGATGGAAAATTTTTCTTGTCAACTCCTTTTCTAAATTTATTGATTTGTAATCAAAATGAATGATTCATGGGTGAGAATATATGATAAAAATCAAACCAATGACTGTTTATCAAATAACTAATCAAAATAATTCTGAGTGCTCCGTACTATACTACCATGTTTTCTCCATACGACAGGATTGTATAGGTTGAACAATCATTAATCATCCACACAACTGGTTGTTCCTTTAAAATGCTACGCTTCTTTGATGCATCTAATTTTATAACATTTTTATGCAATTCAATCTTCAACTACCGATCAAAAGCCTTAAAAAATGCTTCTATTTTTGTTGCCTGTATTAGCAATGATTAGAGAATAAATAGTGGTTTATCTATTTCGAATGTGGTGGATTATATAGAAAGCAACAAGACCTGACATACAAAATATAGACTCTTAGTATATGATAACAGACTTACTCCAGTACACATTCCAATTATTGCATTACGTGGTTCTTCTGAGAAAGAAGGGATGTAACACCAAATCTCATCAACTCAATATATTCAGCCAACTTTCATCCACATATGAATGATGTCTTTAATTGACAATGTTCCTAAGTATTGAGCCTAGAAGATAATCAACCGGTGGGCTCAAGCCTCTACGGCAAATGTCAATTCCCCAAAATTCAAATAAATATTGGTTGACCTTATCATCTAGCTGGGAGAGATCATTGGGATCTTATCCTAGTCTAATTTTCAAACTCTGCCTTTGAAACTAAATATTGCTTAGCTTTTTTTTTTGATATTTCAATAGAGTGAGAAGGAAGAGGATTACATCACTAGCTCATGGCCATTTATTGTTCAAAATGTGATTCAAAATAAACTAGTATAGGCCAAAACACTTATATTTAAAAAAGGATTGTTATGCTCAATTTGACATGATTTGGCTGAAGCCAATATTTAACATTTCTATATGTGCTTGATCTCGGGGCATTGTTGGTTATTTTGCTACTTAGTAGGGGAAGTTACACCCTATTTGGATCCTTGTGTTGGTACTTGCTATTAATTAAATTATTGAAAGTGGTAATGCTTTATGGTCAAATTTATTGAGGTTTATGTTGCTTTTCTTAATGCAATGCTTGATTTCAAATTGTACTATAAATCTTTAATGCTCGCAGTACGTGTATTCATGCATTTGAACTTGATTAGATTTGGGTAATCATATCGTCGAAACATTTTGGTTATGCGTTCTAGAGTTTTTTTTTTTTTTTGAAAAATCACTGATGAATAAATTTGTTGGCTTCAATCTATAATGGTAAATATTGAAAGTAATAATTATATTGGATGGAGGTGCCTGAGCTTTGTTTGTGATGCTGGATATCTATTTTGTTGATGCCAGGAATCTGTCAAGGACATGGCTCAAAAGTTTCTTCTCTATATTATGACTAATCATGACGTGAGTACAAATCGAGTAACCGTGTTACAGGCCTTGAAGATTTCTCTGGTGAGACAGTAGTTATTATCATGATTAGTTCTAATTAACTGAAACATTTCAGTTTCTTTTGATAAATTTGCTAAGCTACTAATTCTGGTCTACTGTTTTACATGTTTTGAAAATATTTTGAGACATCTATTTGCAGTTTTTAAATTTTTATGTGATAATTAAGATTTGTCATACTTTAGCTGTATTTAGGGATCATTCAAAATTTATTAATTGGTTCATTTCATTCTGAAGCAAAGTACTATTTTAGAACTCTTATTGGTATTTTGCTTTAGTTTAATTACTCCTAGCAATTGATTTAAGCAAGCATCTATACATAATCAGTTTACTTTGCTCACTAGAATTAGCACTGCACATGTTTTTTTATGAGTAAAGTTTTAATTATGGATTACAAATATAAATTCTCTCTCATATCCTTGCAAAAGGAGCAAAAGCTTGATTGTTTTGATGGTTGCTGGTTATGAAAATTTGTGCTGTCTCTTTTATAAGTGTTGTCATTCTAGGTCAAAATTTTAGACGGTAGATTGAACTTCGGATAAGATATTATTTGAGGTTTTACCTTTATTTTGGGAGTTCTTTATGATTTAGTTTGAGGTTTCTCATTTATAGAAGCTCATACTAATAATCAGGCTTCTCGTGGATGTGATAGAACTTTTTATTAAGGTTAATTTATATGCCATAGATACATAACTTGTCATGACCCGGCCTGGGGCTAGGAATTAACAAAGATGGGAATAGTAAATGCGGGATTATGGAGAGATTTAGGATAATTAAGGTTTAATTAATTTAATTAACTCAATATCTTATAAATTTTATGTCTTCCATTTCTTTCTTAATCTATATCTACTGCTTTATATCGAATTGATCGATTTTAAGTTTATAATTTTATAAAATTGCTCTTGTTGAAATTTGAGGTTGTGAAATTTGGGGCAAATTTTAAAGTTGCAAAAAATTTTTTTCCCGATTTCATAATACTGGTTATTACAATCTCCCCTCCTTATAAAATTTTGTCCTCGAAATTCTTGAATTCCACATGAGTTATATATGTTATGAGGATAAAACATAAAGTGATTATAAAAGTCTGTTTCTTGTTAGTTGGTAAGCATATGTGATAAACTATACATATGATAAATCCAACATAATATCCAAAATAATGTAACCGTTATGTTTCTATACTCGAGAGAGAAACTGAAATGTCGAACAGAGGGGGAGAGGAAATGATGAGTTGGGAAGCGAAAGCAGAGGAAGTGCCTTATTTTTACTTACATGAGGAAATGACGCCGTGCGCTGTGCTCGAGGGAAGAAGAAGATCGCAGTGCTGCTTTGGTGAGTCGAGTTGCGACCTGAGGCAATTGAAGGAAGACGATGTGCGAGGCGAATTCTGCATGCAAAGGAAGGAGCTCTCCTGGGTCCGCGTACGTTGCTGCCATACGAAGGCGGAAGGAAGCATTAATGTTAAGAGTTCGTGCAGGAAGGAGCCAAGTTTAGGGGAGGACGGAGCAATCTGGATCTCGCGTGCAAGGGGGAAGATAATGTTTTATCGCGTGCGGGAAAGGGACTCGCGTGCAAACTTCTCTCACACTGTTTAAGGCTCAGTTGAGTAAAGTAATGTTTATTTTAAGTGATTTAATTGTAATAATAATAATATATATATATATTTGAGAAAGCCCAAAGACTAATTTATTAAATAAAAAGTAGGATACATATAGATTGTGTGTGAGGGCCCAAGCATGGCACCCCCCCCACACAATAACCACCAGATCAAATGGTTTCAAAAAAAAAAAATGCAGAAAAATCATGAGACGTAGAGAAAATACTAAAAAGTGCCAAAATACGGAGTATCAAGTAGCTAGAGAGCGACCCAATTTTGCCTTGCCTTCGTCTCTATTTCTAGGGAATGAGCCAGCTAATAAATTGGTAAGATGAGTGTCATTGCCAGTAGCAATCAATGTTTCATCCATTAAATTCCCGAGCTCGAGTCGGCCTCCATTCTTCTTCTTCCTCCTGGAATAAACCTGTCATTCCTCATCCGAAGCTTGTCTCGCCTTATCATTGGGTTGGTCTAAAGTTTGTCAGATATGTGTAGGTTGTTGAACATTAGAAGCAACTACTTATTGTACCAGCTTATATTTTATCAGAAGAAACACTCTCGTGTGTCTTGACATATAAGTGAGTCTTCTTCAATAACAGTGAGTGATATAAGCACATTTGGATCTGTACATGTAGTATGATTTTCTTCATCTGGAATAATGGTGTTGGCAACAGAATCGGGTCGCACCTTTTCGGCAGGGATAGTGGGTGATTTATCTTTAGCGATATTTGGCCTTAGATGAGGATGCAATTAGATGAGGATGCAAAGATGAGGATGCAAGTGATAACAAATAGTAGAATTGTGGCCAAACATACTACAATGAGAGCAATAAAGAGGTTGTGGTTCTATTTTAATATTTTGTCAATGCCCGTTGTGAGTGGTGTCAATCCATATCTCATCTCGAGCTGGTTGAGCGATATCTCTCTCAACGAACACACAAGCCACACAGTTTGGTGACAACAAGCGTAAGACTATCAAACTTGAGAGACTTGCCGTAAGTAGTTGCTAAGGAGTAGAGAATTTCTAAGTTGAACAGATGTAATTTTAACCTGAAAACTTTATCAAAACAAGAATGATAGAGGGCTCCGCTTTTGGATCAAATCGACAATCCACTTCAGAATTTTCATAAAACAATTATCGATCTTGATAACTTTTCAAGAAAAAATGCTTGTAATCGGCATCGTTAGATAACTGAATAAGTATATACCGACCATCAAGTAAGCCAATATTCCAACTGCCCAATAATTTCATATCATCAAATTCTTTCCGAATGATCTTCAATTTTGGGTGATCATAAAGGAAATTCCCCACTAGAGCAAAGCACAAAGACGAAGCGAGAGTACTGATTTCAATCTTAGTGAGAATAAGAGCAGACTTCCCATTTTTTTTGCCAAGTTTTTAAATGAAAGTTTGATCACCACCACCTTCAAGAGCGTTGTGGAAAGGTTGAGGAACATTGTAGGACTAGTCAATATGAAAACCAGGCTCTGAACCTGAAAGAGGAGCACGGGTAGGAATTGGAAAGTCGCTGACAAGTGCATTGGTATAGGAATGCATCGTCGAGGCCATCTCCAGAATGACTGACAAGCTGGCTGCTAGAAAAAGGCGAGCAAACTTCACTTTCTGTCGGGCAGGGCGATAAAGATCGTCGAGTGCGATCCGAGGAAAGAAGACTGCTAGCGTCGGGCCAAATTGAAGGCGTGAAATGTATCAGTAGCGGTGCGAGAGCAACGAAAACGAAAGAGGCCTTCGTTGTCGGGTACTGCTGCGATGGTAGCTATTCGACGTTGGGTTGAATCGAAGGCACGAATGCGTTAGGAAGAGGAAAGACATGCGAGAAAGCCGAAGGAGAGAAACCCTTCGACGTCGGGTACTAGGAAACTGATTGGCGTGTAACTCTTTGTCGTCAAACTGATTGGCGTGAAACTCTTTGTCGTCAACATGACGAAATTAGAGGGTGAAGCCGTAGAATTAATGCAGGGAATCACCAACCGATGAATATATATGTCAGCTATATATATTTGAAAAGACAATATTCATTGATAAAAAAAGAGGATACAAAGGTTTTAGTGAGTGGGTGCCAAAATCCCACTCACAGGGATTACAAATGTATTCCTCAAAAAATAAAGCATAAAGAGGCAACTCCTAATCATGGTGGGTGTAGTCGGTGGATCTATCGCTTCCCCTTCCCCTGGATCTTGGGAGGGAGTCCAACAACATGTTGAGATGTGGGCTTCCGCTCGAAACAATGATACAGTCATTCTGAGAGTTACTGAGATCTGACATTTTTTTTTTCTTCTTTCTAGTTTTGTAAACCTGCCAATCATCTGGCAGAGGAAGTCTCGTGTGAACAATAGGTGGATCTTCGATGGAGGTAAATTGCTGATCTGACTCAGCATGCAACACACCTTGATCCTGACACTCTTCCATAACATGAGTACCCTCTTCTCTCGCAATAGGTGGATCCGAGATACTTCGGCTAGCAACTGCTACAACACACTTTGTAGAATTTGTAATCTGAGGAAGAGCTGCCTCAACAATAGTAGGCGGAAGCTGCTGGTATGTTTGGTGAGGAGTAGTCTTATTAGTCAAATTCTCATTCAACATTTATGGAAGATTAACAATGTCTGCTATATTTTCCTCCACATGGATGGTGTTGTTAGGACATGTCGATCTCAACTGTGGGTGAAGGCTGAAACATTTGACAAGGGTGTGCCTAAATAATTTACAGTGATTGCAGTAGTATGGTCTTTGTTCAGTTATAATTGGCTGCCTATACCCATTGTGGGCAGTGTCAAACAAATGTTTCATCAACATCAGGGAGAGTGACATCCCTTTCAATAAAAATTCTTGCAAACGAAGACCTGGTTAGATTGAAGGTGGGTGTATCCAATTTCATTGGTCTCCCTAGTGTAGCTCCAATAGAGTAGAGGACTTGGTGGTTTAAGTAATGCAACTTTAAGCCAGGTAGTGTAAATCAGATTGGAACTATAGGTGATTCTTGACTAGGGTTAGGAGATCACTTGAGCAGTTTCATATATTTTTCCTCTATTGTCATAACTTTTTTGGAAAATATTTTGGCAGATAATTGTATCATCACATGTCTTCCATCAAAGATGCCAACCTTCCAGAGTCCCAATAGTTTGAGACCTTCAAAAACCTTTCAAACAATTTCTATTTTGAGATTTCCCGATTGGAACTTCCCAATGAGGGTGAATTTGAACTTGTTAACCAGGTTGGAAACTTCAACATCAAAGAAAAATAGAGCCAGTTTACAACACTTTCTACTCATCTTCTTAATAAGGTTGCAATTCTCCTTGCCTTCGAATGATTTGTGGTAAACCTGAAAAACCTAATTTGATCCCATAGAGCCAACCATATCAACAAAAGAAGCATTTCCAAGGTTTGAAAC